TTTGTTAGTTCCAAAGATCTAGAAACATCAATATTCGATTATATAGGCAGTTTTTTCTCATCTTATAATTCTCAGAGTAAAAAGTAGATACCATCCATCGTAACTCCTTTTGTAATGCCAATGACCTACATTTTTTATGAAGTATATGTAGACAAATTTTCAGACTTCCAACACATACAGTGACCGAAATCAGCTCGAGAGAACGGAGATTTTTGTCTAACTACTGTATGTAGTCAAATAATCCAGTTGTAGCCTCAAAGGAAAATCATTAATTTTGATCTATTGTAACGAAATAATGTTCATCTAAAAGCAAATCTTCAGTCTATTTCATAAGAAATTCCATCACTTTAAATGCAATGGCACCTTTTTTGTAAAACACAATCCGAAAGGAGCGTTGCAGTGTATGGGGTAGAAATTTTGGACCTACTCCCCCTCCCCACAGACCGTGACAGAGAACCTTCGGACCCATCACAGACTGTGACAGAGAGCCTCCGGACCCATCACAGACCGTGACAGAGAACCCTCGAAGACCATTACAGACCGTGACAAAGGAACTCCAGGAACCATCATAGACTGTGACAGAAATTGTAGTTTTGAAGCATAAAATAAACGGTAAGCTACAAATCTATCTTGAAGAAATGGAATAAAACGATGTCCATTTAATTAGTAGCAATAGGTCCATCGTGTTTCACATTTTTAATTCTGCAAGAAATTGCGCTAACAGCTTTTTTTACTCTAAGAAAAAGAAAAAATAATTATTAATGAAGGTAACAAAAATGTACACGTCAGCATACAGTTAAAAAAGTAAACTTACCTCGTTCTCAGTCATATTCATTTATTAGTATGTTCTTTATCGACTAAATGAGTAACAAGTTAGACAAGAAATTAGATCAGAACCGATTATAGTAGAAGTAATCCAAAAAAATCGAAATTTTATTGATTGCTCAAAAATATTTTCGATTATGAGATAAAAGCTGTGGAAATAAATAACATTGATTTTAATCAATTTTACATGAATTATAATAAACAAGAGAGGTTATTAAGATATGAAATCCGCTTCTTTCGATATTGAATTTCTTATTCTCCGAATAGTCAATTCGAATATCACCAATCGATTACCATTCGAATTCGACTACATTTTGGGTGCATGCGGCTAACACTCAAAATTTGATATTATCGATTTCCTATAGTATTATACTTTGTTTCTTCTATCGAATGACATTGTTCACTTGGAATTTATATGTCGCTTGATAAGCTTGTCAAAGCTTCTAAAACTAGTGCTATTCTGCTAAGTTGAATTCAATGTTCGTACAGAATGTTTAACAGATACAAAATTGTGATATGGTAAAAGAAAAAAATTTCTCAACTCTAAAAGAATTTAACATAATAAAACAAAATTCATTTTGTTTTTTTTTGTCCTTACTTTACTTTCATGTAAAGTTACTATTTGACTAATGATTGCAAGTAAGTAAAATGTATCAGTAGTAGTTGAGATATTACATGCTTACTTATCTCAATTACGAGAAATACTTTGATCAAGCTCTTCACCTATTGTTTGTAAATTTGATATTCTTCCGATGACGCCTTTAAAATCTTGATGTTCAAAACAACTCATTGTTCTACAAATAAATTCTATTTGATTCTTGAAAAAAAACTAAAAAATTTTCATTGCTTTACCGAATAACATTCATATTGATAGTTATTGGCCTTGATTATTATAATGGAAAAAAAAGTCGTTTGAATTTTAATATATACATCATTTAATATAATTAATTTTAATTATTATTGAAGACTTATAGAACAATCTTAAACCTACGAAATACAGAACTATTATTTGTTTTTCTTCGTTTCTTTTCATTTTAATTTACTTTTTTTATTCGAAATTTCACAAGGACAATCAGTAATTTCTCACATTAACTATTGATAAATTTTTAAAATATTTATCTGCTAATAATTTGTACTTATAATTGACTTACTCAAGCATAAATTTTCATAATATTGTGAATATAATTAAGTAATTTAATAAATAGTATTATTATAAATTAAAACTTTGATGATACATTTAATGAAAATTATTTAATTATCTAAAAAATAAAATTGTTAAGTACAAAAATAAAAAAATTTTCAAGTGCTTCAATTTATTGTGATGAAGGACCAACAATAATGTAAATCAATCAATTTTATCTATTGAAAGATTTATTTCATTTTATGATAATGATATTACTAGAGGATTCCTTGTTAATGATAGTGTTGAGTAACAATTCGATTGTTCTGATAAAATTGTTTCCATATGTTTTTGTTTTTGTATGATCATCAATTAACCAAGCAAAAAATCGTCAGGTTTCTAAACAAGAAGTTGAAATTTCATCATATACATGCAATAAAGAGTATACTGCATTTGATCTGTTATCGTGCATGCCTCGTTATTTGCATTTTATACTACCTTTTATATCGAAACTGATTCATCAACAAACACTAATGTGAACAAATAATAAAGATACTACAAAATTTTATGCTTTCGAAGACCTTAGCGTGATATTCACTAATGTCACGAAGAAGAGGTGATGGTGAAACCTGGTAACATAAGTCGAAGAAACAACAAAATTTTCAAACATGAATAATAATCCAATCATATTCTTTTATCATACCTCTATAATTCCAGAGGGCGTTAGATTAAATAAATTGAAATTGAATGATATATAAATACAATATTGAAGTGACATAAGAGTTTTTAATATTCAACTTATTCATTTGCAAACTTTTACATATTTAACGTACTGTGTTAATTTATCTACTCATTTATTTAAATGCTTTCAAGTCTACTAATAGTCAAACGATAACAACAACAGTTTACATACCCAGATCAACACCACGACTTAAAGATACCGGAAAAAAAGTCGCTTTCGTAAAGAGAGAATCAACTTAGAAATAATCGATAGTCTGATTATTGATACATTGATAAAAGTAAGACTAACTATCGAAAGTATCGTTCAACTGTCAAACAAGGATAGAAACATTATTTTCGTAGATTCTCAAAACAGGAATATATTCTTACAAGCTAGTTTATATATAAATCCAATGTATCTTAAAACAGAACCAACAAAACATAGTGGAGTGCCTATGAGATGCTTAGAATGTAATCACATCGCTGAACATTGTAAAATATATCTATCCGTGACACAAGTAAAAACGACGCTCTATTTGTCTTCTGCTATTATATTATTCTTCTCATAATTATAAAATTTCGATTAGATCTATTTGTTATGATGTGTAACAATAATCTTAAATCATAATCATGAGTTAAATATTACTCATGAAAACTTGTGTTCATAAATGATAATCTTCAAGAAATTTGAGTATCTATGAATGCATCTTGATCTTTAAATTCAATAAGTAATTCGACTTATCTCTCATGTTATATTTTCAAGCTTTGAAATTGTCCGATCTTATTCAAATTGTTATAACTATGGCAATAAACTTTTTATAATGTTCAAATAAATGACTGCAGTATATGTAGAGCATCATCATGTAGAAATCCTTGGAACTGCTTACCCAAATGAAATGATCGAAATAATTTAATTCTTTTGATCTATTAGTTTATCCATAATGAGAATCAAGTGAGAATGGAAGGCATGTAAAAGACTAAGAGCTGATATACTTTCGTTTCAGAGTGGATTTCGCTTCGTGTAGGATATTTATCAAAAAGAAATAAACCTGAATGATCAAATTTCAATCTGAAATTCTTCCCGTGTATAAGTCTTAAGGCATTTAGAATATTCAAGAAGTTTTAACGCAAACGAATGTTTCATTCTCAAAATAATGAACTGACAAGATATACCTTAATTTTACAGATGGGCCAGAAAAATCAAATTTTGTTTTTTTGTATATTAATTGTCTCAGGAAGAAAACATTCCTTTTCGTCGAAACTTGTAGAATAATCGAAAGAATTTGATATCTATATGCGAAAAGAAACACCAGTCGAAATTCAATCATTCTATTTTTTTTTGTTTTGGTAAATACTTTAGATGAAGTAAAATTCAGTGAAATGGCTAAAACTCTTCAAGTGAAGATATATGGATTCTTATCTTTTTGGATGTCTTCTAGTCTTACATAACCCTATCTATGAGGAAAATACCAGATCAAAAGCATTGAATCATTTCGAGCGATTCACTCGTAAGTTTAGTAGAACAGTTTTATGTGTTTGTTGTTTCGAAGCCTGGCGACGGTAGAAAGACAATACTTAGAGAATTCAGTTATTTAAGATCATATTGAACCTATGTAGAAACAAATATAACCAATCGACTAAGTTTAATCAAATATTCCAAACTCAATATAATTTACAGTAACCAATAGGTAGTTGGGCAATTCCAAAGCTTTCATTAAGACACTTATTTACTCCTGAATGGCATAAGCGAGATGAATTGATCTTGTCTCAATCAAAAGGAAAATATCTTCGTTATCCATTGACTAAACTAGAACTCATCATTTGTTCACACAACTTTTCGAAAACTGTTTAGCTTGACTGACAAATAATAAATATAATTCAGCAGAGTTTTATTTCCATTGCATTTCTCTTTTGAATGATGAAAATCGTAAGTTTCTGACTGCTTTTATTCTCGAGATATTCAAGATCTATCAAGGTTCATTATATTTTAGATTCGATCTAATGTATCATCTTTTGCCAACTTAACCTTGTCGAATAATATTAACATAAAATATTTTATGCTTTGATTTGCTGATAGACAAACTTAAATCTTTGAATGAAGTCTCCCATCTTCGTCGGATAGGCTTTAAAAAGAAGAGCATCTTTTTATTTACGTGTCGATTTGAAAAAAAAAACAACAATAAGTTTAAAAATTTATTTATCTCAGATAGCTTGAAGTAAGAAAAAAAAAGAAGAACACTATTTTAATCTTTCTATTGATGAAAGATAAGAATCCTATCAGAACAGATTACTATATACAATAGAAAAAAAAAGAAACATAAAGATTTGTATGTTCTTATTCGGCATGTTCTCTTTGTTGTTCTTGTGGTCTTGTTCGAAATATTCGTTGTGCAAGTGCATGTCGAGCAGCCATAACACGAAATCGAAGATCTTGTAAACGTTGTCGAAATGGAATTTTTGGACGTTTTTCACCAAATGCAAAGTCTTTGGTCGTTAAATTATGTAAACCACCAAAGGCAAGAGCAACAGCTGTACAACCCAAACAAATAACATTAAATGGCATACTGAAATCAGGTGTCGGAAGATTAACAAGTAATGTTTCTGAATAGAGCCGAACAAAACCATCGGACAATGATGAAAGACTACATGAAAAAAAAAATTTACAATGAAATTTTACTCGAATCTAATGAGTAAATTTCTTTAGTTGCTATCTTCCAGTTTCAATGATTTTTTTTGCCTATAGATACAACATAGTGTTCTAATAAAAGAGTTTGAATTCTTATTGATATTTGACTAAGCTATTAAATTTTTAATATGTCCATTTTCTAGAGATCTCAGATTTTCAGAAAACTTAATTAGACTAGCTTACATATAAACGATTCAGATATTTCGAAAAAAGTCTCTTCAAAATATGAGACTTTTAAAAAATGTATATTATATACGTTATACATGGAAAAGGAAAAGTCTCATATCTCAACGAGACTATGTTTAAAACTTGTGAATTTTTTTCTGGAAGTTTGTTTAGTTAAGTTGTTTATATGCATAAAGCTTCAGATTAAAATTCGAAAATCTTAGATCTCTCTATTAAAAATTTCATAGCTTATAAGAGAACATTTCTAGGTGCTTATTTGTTTTTGAATCGGAACTATGTGCATCTCGTAGGCTGTCTATCATAAAGAAAAGTTTATACCCGAGCTTGTTTTTGAAAAGATCAAATATTTTTACTATTATAGCTATAAGAATCATCCTATATGAAAAAAACATCACTATCTCAGTCAATATAGATTAAAAAAAGCTGAGATATTCCTTATATATAGTGGTATAATGTCATTAATTATATTACTTCCTAAAATTACAAGAAATACAATTAAAACTGTTAGACTAGTGAACACTAATAGCGTAATACTATTTTTCCTTATTCGCTCGATATGTAACGCTCTCGGTAAATGTTGGTAATATCAAGATAGAACAAAAAAATAAATAAAGTATGGTAAGAAACTATAATTATCAAGTATCTAAAATAGTATTACGCCATTGATGTTTACGTTTCTAACAGTTTTAACTGTATTTAAGAAGTAATATAATTAATGACATTAAAAATCACATTAACATTTGCGATAACTCATCTTTCCAAGGTTATTTGAACTCAAACTTTCACATTGTCTACTATATGAGTATCACTATATATAAGGAAAATCTCAACTAGTTTCAATTTATATTAACTAAGATAATGATGTTTGTCTTATAGAATACTTCTTATAGCTGTAATAATAAAAACATTCGATCTTCTCAGAAACAAGCTAAGGATACGAACTCTTTTTTATGTTAGACATAATTCATCAAAGTCTACAAGATGCACAAAAGGTATGTATCAAAATAGTCGAAAATGTCCCGGATGCCGTTAAGTGACTCTATCCAAGCAGTAAGATGTAGAGTTCGAGATTAGAGATGAAACGAGAACTGATATCCACATCCATATCCTACCCACATTAAGAAATATATAGTCCTGTTGTTAGTCTACTTAAACATAGATTGTTTTCTGTATACAATAACATGTCTTCATTTCAGTAATCGAAAATACAGAGATACCGTTTTTTTTTTGAACAAATTCATATGATTGCAAGGGATATTTTGCTGTAGACTGTTTCACTATTTTTTTCTTTGGACCAATTTAATGCCATTCGCACAAAGTCTCGACTCAAAAGCATACGGAATGTTTCCTTGTTAGTCAAATCCTTTCAGGATTTTTATTAGAATATTATCTATAGGCAAAGAAATCATTGAAATTGAAAGCTGATAACTAAAGATATTTCCTTTGTAAGTAAACAAGATGATTAATTTTACCTTTGATTTAAAGAAAATGAATTAAGTGATCGAAGAATATAATTTGATTTAATATTTGAAGGAAGAATTGTTGATATAATAGCACTTGGAATATAAAATCCATGATTTGGATCAGGTGGAAATTCGTTCCATTTTAAAAAAGCCATTTCAAATTCAAAATTAATTAAAATTGATTGTTTTGTTTTTATTACTAATTCTAATTGATAAGGTCGTTCACGATCTTTACCAGGTATATATGATATATGATCTAGATAATATAATAAATTATTATGAATATTCAAATAAAAAATTATTTACCAGGTTTTATTTCAGTTCTATTATTATCAAGTGTTGTTATTTTAAGAGTATGTAGAAAAACACGAAAATACCATGGAATTTGTTCGAAATAAAGTAATGTTATTTCATCTTCTTGTTTTTGTTCTTCATTTAATTTTATAATAGTTTTAATTCCACCATCACGAACACCATAACCTTGAAGAAAAGATATTTATTCATTTAATAAATTTTTATATTCTTGATTTTACCCGTAGCATATCGATGAACGACAATAGGGGGAGAAAATTTATTATTTTGATTATCAATTGTTACTGATTTTTGTTTATTATAATTACAACTCAATGAAAATGTTGTATTTTTTCGTTTTTCATTATGTAAATCATAGATAATAATAGGTGTTGTTCCTTGTTCAATTGAATAATCTGGTTCAGGACTTAAATTAAACGAATTTGTCTAAAATAAAAACAAAAAGAAAAACTAGATCAATCTATTGAAAGAACATTTATATTAATATATACTTGAGATAATTGCAAATCAACATAAACATTTGTAAGTGAACTAAGTGGACATATTTGAGCTATATTTGATCCAAATATCGAACGAAATGTCCATTCTAAACAAATAAACAAAAAAAAAATTATAAGAATAAAATAAACTACAATCTTAATTAATTAACCATTATGATCAGATTTTGATGAAGTTGTATCAACAACAATAGCCAATGCCATAGAAAATTCAAGTTGAGTTGATGTACATTCAATATTCTTTATCAAAAAAAAAAAAAAAAACTTTCAAATCTGTATAAATATAAGAAAATATTTACAGCACATATTTGTCTTAGATCCATTCGAAGTGAATGATAAGTACTATGATAAAGTTTTGGTGCATTATCAAGTAATCCTACAAGACCTTTATGATTTGAACCACCAGCTACACAAGGTAATAATTTTTTCCATGGTGTTAAATTTTCTATTTATTAAATACAAAAATATGATTTAAATCTTATTAAAACTAATACAACACACCAGTGCAAACGATTTCTCGTGGTAAAACAGCATATCGAACAAGAGAATTATCTTGATGTAAATTTTTTGAAATCGGTAATGTTGATTGTGGTCGAAATGAATAATGTGGTGAACTTGTACTCACATTTGAATCAACAAAATTAAGAGAAGCACATAGAAGACCACCTAATTCATGTGCAAATGATGTCCAACGAGATGTTACACTAAAATATACAAAATATTTAATCGTATTCTTCGTAAAAATAAAAGAAAATTTTCATTTATTTAAAACTTACTCTTGTTGTTCATTTGGATTAAACCATGCCCAAACTTCTGCACCTGGTGGTGCACCAACAATAGGCATACCCCAATGATCATATCTCCATAAACCTTGTGTTAATGAAACATGAAATTCACTAACACCATTTGAACGAACAGTATCAGCAATTGATTTTGGAAATAAATGATAATGATGAACTATATAAATAAAGAAAATCTATCAAATAAAATATTCCTATGAAAAACTTTACCGATATTCGATTTGAGAATATTAGGTGAAGCAACAGTAGTAAACAAAAGATTAAAATATGTATGACCAGTTGATAATGGACGAATATAAAGTTCTTCTTTATATATATCGTCAGTTGATGAACAATAATAAATAGATAAAAGTATAAAGAAAATACAATAGATCAACTTAGTTGAATACATTTCTGAAATGAACAATCTTTTTAGCAATGTTAGCAAAATGAACTGCTATGATCTTTTTTCTTTTTCGTTTTGTTTGTTGATGGAAAGAAGAAAACTTACAACAATTTAAGTAACTAAGGACATATTTGAGCGCATAAGAAAAAAACGAGTGGGAATCAACGAAAGAAAGACAAAAATCAGTTAATTCTACATCATGAATCAATGGAAATGTTGTAATTCTTCTTTTATTTTTTCCATGTACCTAAACAAAAAAAAAAGGGTCGAAAATGATTATTAAAACAAAACAAAAACATAACTAACCAGTTTCATAATCCCATTTAGATGAAAGACCAGTCATAGGACCTTGACGAGCAGCAATATGGTATTGTAATTGTTTCTTCAATTTTTCATCACTAAAACTATCGGGTCTCTCAATATTATAAGCTAAAATGATATTAAAAAATTTTTGAAAAAAAGAAGTTAATTCATTAAATATAAAATTCATACCAACACGTCTCCATGCATCATAAGCCATAATGAGACCTGCTAATGAAATTAAAGTCCAACCCATTGTCCATTTCCAAACACCACTTGGAGCTGTAAATTCTTCAAATGTTTGACGGAAACTTGCTCGATATACTAAACGAAAAAAAAAATAAACGTTGTCGAAATGCAAAAATCGAATGGATCTTTTTTTCTCGTTCAATAGAGCTTGACGAGTCTATTACAAATATACAGTTTTTATCTTGATTCGATCGATATTTTGGTTGTAAAAACTTTAAAAATTTCGTATGAATAACAATGTTGAATTTCTAATAAAGAATTTGTATTTTCTACAGCAAATGTCGAGTTTCAACTATGTTCATTTAAGAGCCCTCCTAAAAAAAAGTCGCTTTTCGCAAGAATCATCGAAATTGAGATAAATTCATGGAGAAATAGCTTGTCATCTGTTCTTTCATACGCGACAAAAATTTTGGAAGATTTTCGTCACCTGATATTCGAAAAATAAGCCGTTTTTACAAAAAATCGAAATTCATTTTTCGTTTTTCTCAGAACATGGCTTCAACGGCGTAGCGCCAGCAGAACTCTATCATAGTAAAAGACAAAGTCAAATATTGTGTTTTTTTGTTTGAACGCTTGTATCTAGAGCTAAACCTTCTCATGGCTTTTTTTTACAATAAGCCTTTTTATTATCATATAACAAAACGCCTCTATAAAAAAAAAAGCGCCATTTTTTTAGGGCTTTTTTTGAGTCATTAAACTTGTCAGCCATTGTCTTCGCTTAAAAAAGGGGGCCACGAGGGGGAGCTAGCCCCAGACACAAGCTTTCAAACAAAAAAAAATTTAAATGTATAAAATGAAGATCCACAGAGAAATCTTGGGGCTACGATAGAACTATTTTTGATCCTTGTTTGGTGAATATCTCTGTCAAATATTATGATATATAGGGCTGAAAATTTTACCATAGCCATCGCTCACCAGTCCCAACATATCCTGAAGTTTCATGCAATTTGGATGTTCCTGAGCTGAGATCGATTTTTGAGCGAATGATCTTAAAATGAAACGAATATATGTAGGTGCAAATGCAGTTTGAGCACACCTTCATTGTTTATTTCACAGAACAGGAAAAAAATTATTAGATAATAAGTATATCCAGTATCAAGCGAGATCTCTCATTTGATACTGAGTGTACTTACTATCTAATAAGTTTTCTTTCCTGTTATGTAAAATAAACAATGGGGATGTACTTAAACTGCACTAGTATCCAACTGTAGTCTTCCTCAGGTGTTTTTTTTTGTAAAATGTTGTCTCTATTTCCCGAAAGAGTCGGCATTTTGTAGGAAACAAAAAATTTTAAAACATAAATGATTCTATGCAGTTTTTGATGTTGATTACGAATATGGTATCTATATTACTTTACAACTGAGTTTTGATGATAACAACTGCTAAATACGAACGTATTTTTCACTCTGTTTTTCTAATTTTACCATGAAATTAAGGAAAAAAATTCAATTTTCTCAACACTAAAACTACATATAGAAATATTGCATTCTTATTCATGCGAAGTTCTTTTTTATAGCTAAAACAGTAATCGAATCAAGATAAAAAAATAATATATTCGTGATCAGTTCGTCAAGTTCTATTAAACCATAGATAAATAAACCAGGAGAAAAATTGAGTTGATTTGTGGATTTTTGCAAGCTTACAAAAAAAATCGAACTTACATTTTTTCTTATCTTCAACAGATAATTGTTTCCAATCACCTTTTTCTTTTTTTCTTAATTCAGCAATTGCCGGTATATCAGCTTCCCAACGAATACTTGGACAAGGAAACATAACCAAATCAAAATATTCTGGTTTACCTTTTAAACCATAACCAACTATTTCACGATTACCAATACGTGGATGCATACGCATACGATCAGCATCTAATGGTGGAGGTGGTTTTGTATTATCTAATACTACTGGAGTATGTTGAACAATAGAGGCACTTGATGATGTTGAAGCTTCTACTCGACATTGATGTTGAAGCATTAATGCTAATTGAGGTTGTGTTAATTTTACATGTCGAAGAAGAAAACTACTCATCCTGAGTTATTCAATTGGATTTTTTTATTGGAATATATTTTCTAAAATTATAAAATCATTTGATTAAAATTTGAAGGCAGTTTAATAGAAAATAAGAAACAAAAACAAAATAAACAATAACAACAACATTATTACAAGAATCATTTATTGGTCGATTCATATCAACTAATCAAATCAAATAGAGTGGCCTTCATATAGGAAAAAAAAAAAATTTCTCTTAATATTTCGAATCAAATCTAATAGAATTTTTCTCTTTATTTTAAATAAATCTTACAAAACAATAAAATTATTGTTTGTTTGTTTTTGTTTTACTTGTTCAAAATAATCATTGAAAATCATACTCATAAAGTACTACTCTACCTTTACTCATTCATCCGAAGAAAACAAACAAGGTTATTTATAAATTTTTAAATTTTTTTATTATTTTTAGATTAATAAACATGACAAAATATCTTCTTATTTATTTCGTATTGTTCTATTCAATAACATATTCTTTAACAACTCTTGTTGATTCAATAGTAACATTATCATGGACACCTAGTGGATCATCACCTGTAGTAGATCGTTTTTTAACAAGTAATACAGAAATTCAATTAAAAATTCTTTGTCCTGCATCATCAATAAATATAAATGAAACACAAAATCAAGTTAAAAAAAATTTCAATAAAGACTATGATAAAGTTAAAGTTGGAATAAGTGGTCGAATTGGTCGTATTGTTGGATGTTTACCATTACAAGCTGAAACATTTATGACAACAAATCAATTAATATCAAAAGATAATAAAGATACACAAAATTTATTACAAACATTTTATAGTGATTTATGGAAACAAATGGAACAACGAAAATTTACAATGCAACAAGTTAATTGTGATAATTCAGGTGATTTAGAGGTTATTGAATATACAAATATAACAGGACCTGAAATATCACCAGAACAAGCTTTAGTATTAAGAAAAAATTTTTTAAAACAAGAACGTGAACAAATGAATACAAATCAACGTAAAATTAAATTATGTTTTTTTTTTTTTGTTTTTCTTTAATTATTATATTTTAGAAAATATTATCTCACCTCCTCGTCGTCGTCGTCGTGCTGTTATTGATGATAAAAAGACAATAGAATCAAATGATAAAAAATCACCATTAGCAGTTGCTATGAGTAAACAATTAGAAAAAAAATTACGAACATGGGCTGATGGTTATTATCTTATTGAAATTTTTCAACCAACTTTTGATTTAACTACTACTGAACCTGATGTTGATGTTATTGTAACAATGAAAAATTGTCATGGTGGTTATATAACAGCTGATGAATATCCCGCATTAATTTTTTATGGTGTTATGTGTGGTATTTATGCATTTTTTGCTATATTATGGTTTATTTGGTGTGCATGTTATTGGCGTGAATTACTTAAAATACAATTTTGGATTGGTGGTGTTATACTTATTGGTATGATTGAAAAATCAGCATTTTTAGCTGAATATGATACTGTTAATCGACATGGGTAAAAAATAAATTTATTTTAAAATATTAAGTTTTTTTTTTGTTTTTTAATTTTTTTTTAGGTATAAAGTACATGTTGCTATTGTTACTGCAGAAGTACTTTCATGTTTAAAACGTACTGTATCACGGATGCTTGTTATTATTGTTGCACTTGGTTATGGTATAGTTAAACCACGTTTAGGACCATTAAAACAAAAAGTACTTGCTATTGGTATACTTTATTTTGCAATTGCTACAACAGAATCAATACTTCGTTTAAATACAAAACATGATGAAATAAATAATAGAGTTTTAATATCACGTATACCATTAGCTGTTGTTGATGCAACGATTTATTATTGGATATTTACGGGTTTAGTTACAACAACACGAACATTACGTTTAAGAAAAAATATTGTTAAATTAAATGTTTATAGACATTTTACAAATACATTAATATTTGCTATTGTTGCAAGTTTATTATTTATGATTTGGTCATTAAAATCACATATTTTTACAACATGTATTACAGATTGGAAAGAATTTTGGGTAAATATCAAGTTGGTTTTTTTGTTTTTTGTTTTAAATAAAATAAATTTTATTTAGGTTGATGATGCATTTTGGCATATACTTTTTTCATTAGTTCTTCTTGTCATTATGTTTTTATTTCGACCATCAAATAATAATCAACGTTATGCTTTTGTTCCTTTACTTGATCAATCGGATAATGATAATGATGAGTTTGATGATGATGAAGAAAAAGGTGGTAAGTTAAATCATATCAATAGTAAACATTCTTTTTTTTTTTATATATATATGGTTAAATATGATGTAATGAGTTAATTAAGAGTATGTGAGTTTTGAATTTTTTTGCAATGATTTTTTTTTTAGAGGAAAGTTTTCAGTTCTATTCAATAGTCCATTTTTGCTGGAAATAGAGATCTGAGGATCCTTCCAAACTCGCACCCGGCCGGATCTGAGTCCAACCTTTTATTTTTTGTCAGACCCGATTACACGTTTTTTTTGTAAATCCGCTGCTTCCCAGATGAGAAATATAGCAACAAGATATAACTGTACATTGAGTTTTTCTTCAGAGAGTGGCGAATAAATCGCTAAAACCTTGATCCTCTATTTGTTCATGTACACGAAGGATGACACATATTGATGAAAAAATTTCGGATGTGGGTTTGACTGAGTCTGGGTCTAAATTTTAAACTGTATTCGGGTTCAGATCCACAAAAACGCGGACCCGCAGTTTTCTAGTTGGAAAACAGATCAATTTTTGATAATCGACAAATTTTCAATTTTTTCATTCTACTTTAAATTTCAAACATGGTTTTTTCTCAGATTTAGTATGAAAAACTGAATCTAGAAAACACAATTATAAACGAGTTTCCTAGCAAAGGTCTGTATAGATTGTATCAACCCAAAGAAAGCCAACTCATAGGTTATTGATCCGACCCGACCTGCAGCTTTCTCTTAAACAAATGACTCACTCAGCTAATTGCATTAGAAAAATTTTTAACACATGCATAAGCATTCATATTCCCAGTGTCAGTAGTTGATGTATCAATAAATGTTCAGTAACATATCTCTTGAATTCACCAGTATTATCTAGTTTTTTAGCTAAAAAATCAAACATTTTCCAATATAAATATATATTTAGTTTTTCATTTTTAATAAAAGTATATATCGTTGATTGTTGTTTCAAAAGAAATTTGATCCGTTCGCATGTATATTGTTTTGTATGTGATAATAAACCAGCGCACCGGTAGTTGATAAAAAAGTGTTAATAAAAGTTGATGATTGACAAGATTCAGTAGAAATTGAATTAGAAAAATTTATTGATGATGAAGGTTAAGCAAGAACGTATTCTTCAACATAAAGAAAATTTTATTTTTTTTCTTTGTTTTTCTTTATATATTTACTGTTTATTGCAGAAATTATTTTAGTCAATGAAAGAATCTCATGAGATTTTTGAACAAAAAAAACATTCAGTGGAAATAAGTATTTTATTCTTATAATTTTTTTGTAGAATCAGCTGTATTTGATTCTGTAACAATGCGTAAAGCAACAAATTTTGAAAATGGTACATCATCAAAAAGTAAAAAACAACAGCAAGCGGCTTTAAATCGTGAAGCAAATGTATCAGGTAGTGGTGTTGGAGGTTCAAATGGTAATGATGTTGTTGAAGATGCTTTAACATGGGTTGAAGATAATATTCCAACATCAATTGCTGATCAAGCATTACAAGCATTGGATAGTGAAGATGAAATTGTTAATACAAAATTAGAACGATCGAAAATGCAGTAAAAATTTTCAAATTATATTAAACATGCGTTCCATAAAACAACTGAAATTAAACTATATATAATTATTTATTTATTTTTCTCGTGTTGCGTGTCTTATAAAGAGTTTTTCTTTTCTTATTTTCTCTGCTAAACTAATCCGTACATTACTATCTTACTATTGGTGTGTGTGTGTGTGTGTGTGTGTATAGGCGTCCTACTAACATGTACGTTATTCTTTTTCATTTTTGCTTGTTCATAGTTTATTTTCTATGTATACAGAAATTTTCAAAATGCAGTTTCCTTCTTTTGGTTTTTCATTTACGAGAAAATATGTCGTAATATATGCTTTGATTCCATTTACCGACTTGAGTGGTTTGTCATTTGGATTGGATTACGATCGTTTAACATTGAATGCTGTATTAATATCATTTATATTTATCTTTTTTTAATCATGATATGTCCTTTTTTTTTTCTTTTGTTTAAAAATAATCATATTACATTCTTCTGTTTGTCAATCAATTTAAAACAGTATTAAAAAAAAAGACAGAATACTATGTTATCTATCCATGTCAATCCTTATATCTCTAGTTGTTTAGAAAGGTAATTCTTGCTATTTAGATTTATTGTTGTTATTATTATTATTACATTGATTAACATCATCAGATAAATAGATTCTCTTGTAATACAACTAATGTTTTCTTTTGCACTTTGTACATTCAAAATTTTTATTTTATATGGAAACAAATTTCCTACAGCTTTAAATTTTCTATTTTGTAGTTCAAGAAACATATAATCCATATTTTCTTTTTTCAAAACCTAATCATAAATCTTTAGTCTTTCTTGAAATGTTTTCAGCGATTTATTAACAGAATATTTGAAAGACCAGGATTTCGGTTCGTGACCTCATTGACCCCTAAAATAAAAAAAACCAATTTGCTTAATTAGTTGCAAGGTATTGTGGTACTGGGCAGGACGGCACAATGCATAGAGGATAGATCTCTTCCACATCAGCAGTGTCAATCACACATCAGGGTGTGTAAGCGCTGATGCGAAGGCCGGGGAGATGAATACATGATGTATGATTGCTACTGCTAATATAAAAAGGATACACACTCTAAGCATTATGTCATCACCACGATATCTCGCAACTAATTAAGCAAATTAGATTTTTTATTTTAGGGACCAATAAGGTCACGGGTCAAAATTCTCGTAGGCCTTTCGGACTG